ACCTCTTACACTGGCAAGACATTTACTTATGACTTCTTCCACTGAGCACTGTGACATCCTTTGTGAAAAAAGGTATCCAGGGTTAATCACTGCTACTCCTAACAACCCATTAATGTTGTGTGAATTAACTGGAGTGGTGGGAAGTGTAGATTCGTGGTGCTTGTGCCCTTACAAACCTCTGCCTCCAAGACTTCCATCCTGTTTTTTGTTTCTTCTTTGGAGCTGTGGAGCATCATGTCTTCTCACCCTCTCTTCCTGAGGTTTCAGTCTAGCAATGGGGCCAAAATAACTTACGTCTTTCTCTAACCCTTTGAGTGCCTTGCTGCTCCACTGTAATGTCTTGAGTTGAGACTGTGCCCTTTTCCCAAGACAAGGAATGTAGGGAGAAGGGAGAGTGACTAAGGTCAGCCTACCTTGTCTGCAGTCTGACTTCACCTGCTTATGCTCACTGTTTCTCTTCTGACACAGTCAGGCTTCAGCTTTCAGTCATTGGCTTTTGATGTGTTTCCTGCATAAAAGTCCTGTAGCACCTCATAGGTTGCTAATAAAGCCAGTTCTTTACATATCCAGTCTACCTCTCTCTAAGGCTGCCTTGCCATAAATGTTTTCAAATTTGGTTTTAATAATAATCTGAACTAAACTTTCCTTTTAGTTACTCAATTTTGATTTTCTGGTGTCACTATCTCTGATTTGTTTCCATGTGCTTATCAGTGATAGGCTGGAATGTGTATGTTCTAGAAGTTCTTATAATCAGCTACATAAGAGGATATGTTTGTTTGTTATGCTTTAAGTGTTTGTACCAAAAATGAGGAAAATGGGCACAAAGAAACAGAGTTTAGAATCTGTTTGAAAATGTATGCAATAGAGATGAGGTATACAAATAACTGGATGATACGGGGGCGAGATGGAGAATTGGTCAATTTGACCGTATGTTTGAGAACTTCCATCAAGGAAGATAAATATGGGCAGGAATGTTTCATTTGAACATTTGGTAAGGGGAGTGTCACCTGACCTAAAATCCAAACTTTTTTTATTTTCCCAGTCTATGGCTGTTAGGTGTGCTTTTTCCCCTTGTTGACTCCGTATCTCCTTTTGTCATCACTAGAGAACATATATTCGTTAGTCAGTATGCACACCTTACATACATGCAAGCTACTGGAGGTGTGAATTTGCAGGAAGTACTTTGACCAGTATCGGTTATGTATATTAAACGTCAATGTTACCTTTACAAATTAAGCAGTTGGGGGGTGGGGGGGAGCTTTTTTCGTAAGTTTTTAAGGTTAATCAACATTTGTTTGAAGTCAGCACATGTAAAACATGCTTACTTTACATCTGTTTTGTGGTTTTTTTGGTTTTTTTTACTTTTTACAAGGGCCTGTAGTGATAGGACAAGGGGTAATGGGTATAAATTGAAATCAGGGAGGTTTAGATTAGATATCAGGAAGAAATTCTTCACAGAGAGGGTGGTGAGGCACTGGAACAGGTTGCCCAGAGATGTTGTGGATGCCCCATCCCTGGATGTCTTCAAGGCCAGGCTGGATGTGGCTTTGAGCAACCTGGTCTAGTGGAAGGTGTCCCTGCCCATAGCAGGGGGGTTGGAACTAGATGATCTTTAAGGTCCCTTCCAACCCTAACCATTCTATGATTCTATGATTCTATGATTTTTCTCTTTCTGCAGATTTACATTCCTTTCATTCCAACAGACATAAAAACGTATCTCTCTTTCTGTCTTCTGCAGTACTGTTTCATTCTCATAAGCAAAATTTCATAGAACCCACTTAGAGGTGCTGCAACAGCTTTGTCTATTGTGAGGAATGCCAGTCTTGTAAATTTAATACTTACGGTTGTAAAGGCTAGACCCGCGTTCTCTTACTGTCATCAATACTACGTCATTTTCAAGCTGCTTTTTCTTGGGCAAGCTTGTCTGCCTGATGCAACCATCTGGCTTAAGTTTCAGAGAACAGTACAACATGCATGAATACTCTGTCCTGAAACAGAACTGAAAGCCACATAAATAATGCATATTTGTGGCAGCTTAAAAGACTGAAAGCATCACTTTTTCAAAAGCCCTGAGTTCATTTATCCTGTGACTTCATGTTACTTCATGACGTGTATACATCTTATTAGGTAAGCAGCATTGTCACAAGTACCCAAAACTTAGCTAGCTGTACTAAAATAATTTTTCTTACACACATATGATGAATTAGTAATTCCTTCATAATGGAGCATGTGATGAAAGCTCCTTTTGAATTTCATTTCCTTTAAAGCCTAAAAGGGCAAACCTTTGGAAGTGGATAAAAGGCACTGTGAATGGGAGATGCCTGTGGAGATAGAGACAGGAGCTATCTTTTTTGAACATAATGAAACAGTGTACTGAATTTTAAGATACAACCTAAAGTTGCCTGCTTTGCTGCTGGTGGAGGGTTATTTGCAGATGCAGATAAAAAGAATAAATTGTAGGATATCCAGATTAATCGCAGAACATCAGGGCTTAAACTTTTGCAGACTGTTTTCTTTATGTCCTGACCTCCTCAGAACACCTTACTATAAATACTTTGTGTTAATTGGTCGAGTAATGAAAAGTACTCTTTATTCCAAGGAGGAAGGCTTTTTTTTATTTCTCAAAGTGGGTTTGTGTTAGGACTTTTCTGTGTCTCTGCTACACACATCTGAGACTCAGCGACTCAACAGCACCTCCCCATTTGGTATCATCAGCAAACTTGCTAATGGTGCATTCAACTCCTGCATTCAGGTAATTTATAAAAATATTGAACAGAGCTGGCCCTTGAATTGAGCCCTGAGGAACACCAGTAATGGAAAACAAGAAGTTGGAAATTTTGGAAGCTGGAAATTTTCAGAAAAGGCAATGTGAATTATTTAGTGTCTAGGATTCTGTCTTCAAATCAACACATTTTATGCTCAGAAATAGTTAAGAAGTGATTATATAGCCTACACAGTAAGGTTACTGTCATTAGAGATACGTATCTGTCAGATAATACTGAAAGTTCATTTTATCAAAATTTAGATTAGAAAAAATTAGCAAAATAATTAATAGTGAGAACAGTTTCTTTCGATGAACTTGCCCTGGTACAATGTGACGAAGACTCACTTTAAATATAGATCACATCTTTCTGAGCTTGAAGTAATTGACATGTTTTAGGAGTGACCAACACTGCTTAGCTTATGCTGTGCAGTAAAAGTGAACACAGATTCATTGTCTTCAAAGGTCATACTGGTGAAAACTACTTCTGAAAGAAACTCCAGCAACAAAAATCCCCCAAATGACAAGAAAGCAACAGTTTCTTGTTTGGCTTACTGCATAGCACCAAAAGGCATGGAAACAAAAGGGCAGCAAGGAATGAGTAATGTAATGCCACTTTTCTGTTTAAGTGCAATTACAACTACTTTTTAACAGATTGGTTCTCTGTACAAATGAGGCCACAAGTTGTAGCAACAAAATGAGAGTAATGCAGTAGTGGGAATGAGCAGCGGGAGCTGTTAACTTAAGTGCTATAGTACTGCTGTGGACTAAGCGTTGTGGGACAACTATTCTAAGATTCAGAATTAGGATTTAAATGTGTATACGGTCTTCATTGTTTGATTGTAGCATTATGTTGAGAAAGGAAAGTCTGCGGCTGTGGTATATTGTAAGCTGACCTTATTATGATGATGTTTTAAGCTTGTAGATTTTATCATGTGGCATGTTTTTAAAGTCTGGTCATTCCCTTGTGACTGAACGCTTTGAGCTCATAGCATTTTCCACCAAAGCAAGAAGACATCAGAATTTTGGGGGGGGGGGGCGGAACCCACCACATTATTGCCATGTAAGAATATGTTTTCTTACACAGTAATTGCTTTTTTTAATGCTGTACTTTTTATAGGAAGGCTTGTGTAGCTAATATTAAGAAGTTATAAAAGAGAAACAAGAAATTATTCCTCACAGTTACTATAAATAAATACTTGTCAGTTGCCTTGTAAAAAAGGGAGAAGCTAATTTTATATGTGCAGTAAATTCACATATCAACTTTTTTGGTTTCTGCTATACAGAGGATGAATTCAGCCAATATTGATAAATTATGCCGCTAAAATTATGGATAGTACTGTGATCTTTGAAATAGGATAGGGAAAGGTCATTAAAAAATGCCTACATGGAGAATGATGAGTGTTATACAAAGTATAATGGTGGTTTCCATTGCTTTGATTTTGGCCATTTAATGTAGCTGATTAATTGCCTGTCTTTTCTTACTGCACATCCTGTTGTCTCTGTCATCTTCACTGTTGTTTTTGCTCTTCTGGCTCCCCAGTTAAATTCTATCTTTTTTTCCTTTAATGCTGCTGTTATTGAACTGATCAAAATATCTGTTGATATGAATAAAGAAAAGAATGGGAAAGGATGTGAGAGTGTCCATACATTTGCATTTGAAGTAATGCTACTTTGTATTTTAGTAGTGCTGTGTTTTCTTTTCCTTTTAAAAGACAAAATTATTGTGAACAAATCTGCTTTCCTAAAAGCTGGATCCTGCAGTCTGTATAACCACTGACTTTCCATTTACTTTGACAGCTGGGGATATTCAAAGGGTGCTGGCAGCAGTAAGGATGATGTCCTGTCCCAGCAAAACTAATGGTGGAAAATCTATTGAATTATTTGGGTTTGGCAGTTGATTCTGTGATTCCAGAGACCTGAAGTTTTGTCTCTAATTCAGTGCTTATTGCAAGCTGTGCATGTCTCTTTCTGATGTAGTAGGGGGGAAAACATATGGAGACCTTTCTTAAGATTCTGTTTAGGGATTTATTTGGGTTTTTTTTATTTTATTAATGATATTTTTGTTCAATCTGGGTTATTTTAGTTTCAGTGTAGCTCACCAGTAAATCTACTCATTTATTTTCCTGAGCAGGTTGGAAGGTAAAATGGGCTTTGAAGCTGTGATAGTGCAGTATATATGCAAGCAAAATGCCTTTCTGACCTCATTGGAGAAGTTTGTGTTCACTGGGACTCTGGAATGAGGTCTTTTAGTAGAACACATGCCCTAGCCAGGGATAAAGCAGGCATTTCTATTGATCTACAAGCGATCTGTCAAAACTTCTCTGATCAGGCTTTTTACTATCTCGTCTTGAGTCCTTTTTTTAATGACATCTATTATCAGATTGAAATGGCGATTGAGACACTGCAAAAGTCTGATGGTCTGTCCACTCACAGAAGCTCTCTTCTCAACAGCCATGTAAGTTGTCTCTTCTTCACATACACTCTCTCCTGTTTGTTCTGCATGCTTAGCCTGCCTCTAAATGTTTGTTTTAATTTAGTACTACATTTTGCTCTTAATTTTCTCGTCTTAGTTGCCTGTAATCTTCTAGTACATCGCCCATGGCTTTATTTTGTCAGATTAAATGTCTTTATGGTATACTGCAGAGTGTTACTGTTTCCTATGCTCTACACCTGTGTTAAAACAAGTTAACACATTTGACTGTTTTGCAGATTACAGTTTAAATGTCAAGATAAAGTTCAAATAATTCTAAATTAGCTGGCTTTTGACATTTTAAATAAAGTTGTCTACAAAGCTAAGTCTGTGTACTCTGTATTAATTTCATGGCATGTGAAGAGGAATAGAAGAAACAAACAGCATGCCTAAATAACATCTTCAGGTTATTTTTAGGTGTTTCTTCATTTATCCTGAATAGAGTTAATTATTAAATTACTTCCTTAAGAATCTTAGAAGACCCAAGTGATGACCTGGAAAAAAACTGAAAGCATTATCTTAATTTGAAGTACACAAAAGTCTCTTATTCAGCTGCTTTTTGCTTTGTTCTTACTCTGCAAATATTACAGTTAAGAACTTTCTAAACACAAAATTAAAAGATATTGTGTAAAAGCATGATCTCCAAATATAGTGATAAATCCATTATGTGTAACTTTTAAAAAAAAAGGAAAAAGCCCCGAATTTAATTTTAAACTTATTATATAACTAATAATATTGTTTAGTAATGTTCTTTTTTCTGTTGGTATTTGTGGTTTTGTATTTTTGCCATGTTGATTAGTTTGTATTCATCTTACCTCTTTTTTCTTTCCCAGCTTTACTGATTATATAAATTCATATTCCTTTATTCTTTTAAAGAATAAATTTACATTTGG